GGGCAGACAGCCTCATCTTCATACCATGTTCGTGGCAGCCTGAGTCACAGCAGCAAGAAGCTGGAAGTGCCCTGCGTGCCCGTCCGTGGCTGACTGGAGAGAGAGATGTTGTGCATGCACACGGCGGAGCTACACACAGCGTCGATGAACCTGGAGAGCATTATGCAGGGAGTGAAATTAGTCGATCACAAAGCAGCAAGCGTCGTGTGAGACCACTCATCACTTGTCAAGGAAAGGTTGACACACAGAAAGAAACCTTTGAAGGTGCCTGAGGGTGGGAGGGAAAGGGGAGGAAATCCCTGGCGAGAAGGAAGAGGCATTAACCCAACCCGGGCGATGCCGTGTAAGGAGGAGTCGGCACAGAACGCTCAAGGCAAAGGATGGCACTGGGAGGAGCCTGGCGACAAAGCAGCGGGGTCAGTGCTGCCGCAAGGTATCCTGCCATCAGAGCGGGGCAATCACCCAGGAGTGGGTGCATGCATAGACCCTCGAGCTGAACAGGGCTGGGAAGGCACGCACACATCCAGACAGCTCTCAGAGACCATTTGTACAAATGGATTTCTCTTGGCTGCACACAGATCCATGAGGACAGTTGAACCCACAAAGGACAGTGCTCTGACAATGTGTTAGCTGCTATCGAACCCCTTCTGGGGAACCCCAAGAGTATGGCCCCAGTCACCGTTCCAGTCTGGAACGGAAGTCAGACCCGTGGTAGAAGCATCAACTATTTGAGATCAAAGGGACATCATTCCGAAGGATTAGAAGAGAAGGAGGCTTGAGCCAGGAAACCCAGGGAGGAAGTGGGGTAGGGTAAGGAAACGGCAGGGGGTGCGTGGAAACAAGCTGTGAATCGTTGAATGGAAAACTGACCATCAGCCAACTCACAGTAATCAGTACATACTACCTTTCTGAAAGATGTTGTGTAAGTTTGGGTGGACTAGAGAAACATTCATGGATACTCATGTATAGGGAAGAGCTTTATATAAAGAGTAATTGTCCATGAAGAAAACATCCCAGCCCAGTCCAGATTAAGTCCATAAGTCTGATACCATATGCCCGAGACCAATCTATAAATTCCTCTTCAGACTCACGCAACACACGCAATGATGCTGAATGCAGGAAGATCTAAGGCCAGTTGGGTGGAAAGTCTTGTGGATCCAGTGGTGATAGAAGCATCTCAGCGCTGGTGTGGGTCTGCACGTGGCTCCTTCAGCTCTAGGGCTCTGGCTCTCTCAGTGTACCTCCATGTGGCTTGTCAACAAGAATGTCTCACAGGGCGAATAGAGAGTGTCTGTGTGTGTCTGGCCTCCAGTGAGCTATTCATCTCTGTGGCACCTCCAAACGAGGTCATCAAGCTACAACCTGATTGACAGGCTAGACTCCACCCCTTCACAAGTTGACAGCAGATTATGTAACTGCCACAGATGTGTTGACCTGAATGGAAGAAATACATAATTAACCAGGTGAAGCCTAAGTGGTGGTGGTGGTGGTGGTGGTGATGATGGGGATGCTGGTGGTACCGTCAAGTCTATTCTGACTCATGGAGACCCCACGTACCACACTGCCAGGCACTGCTCCATCCTCACAGTTATGGTGATGCATGAGCCCATTGTTGCAGCCACCATGCCAACCCGTCTCCAGGAGGCTCCTCCTCTTTGATGCTGACCCTCTGCTTGAGCAAGCACAATGTCCTAAACACACGTTGTTACTGCCCACCAGTTACACAAAACTTTAAATGCAGCGAGCAAACATCTGTCTTCTACTGAACAGTCAGTCCTTACAAACAAATCAAAGATCTTGCAGTTTCACATCTTTGGTCAATGAGTTCAAAGCACTGACATTTTTAGCAAGGTAGATCTCTGTAAGGAGCCCTGGCAGGTTGTGGATTGGGCTGCTAATCACAAGATTGGTGGTTCAAACCCATCAGCTGCTCTGAAGAAGAAAGGTGAGGCTGGCTGCTCTCCTAAAGACTACAGAGAGGGTTACCGGGAGTTAAAAGCACTGCACTGGCGTGGAGTCTTGTCTGTTTTGTCTGACCCAGACCTCACACCATTCTCCTGTGTGTGTCCTACTGTGGTGGCTTGTGTGTTGCTGTGATGCTGGAAGTTGTGCCCCAGGTGTTTCAAATGCCAGCAGAGTCACCGTGCTGGACAGGTTTCAGCAGAGCTTCCAGGCTAGGAACACACTGGGAAAAAGAGCCTGGTCACCCACTTCTAAGAGTTTACAAGCGGCAGCAGAATGCCCCCTCCCTGACTCAGACGGGAAGGTGAGCCCCTCGGCTTGAGAAGCACCCAAACTACAACAGGGGAAGAGCTACAGCCTCAAGTAGAGCAAACCTTCATAGTGTCGATGGAGCAAAACTTCCGGAACCTTCGTCTGCTGATGCGGCATGACTCAAAATGAGAAGAAACAACTTCAAACATCCATTGATCATTGGAACGGGGATTGATGGAACATCAAAGGGGAGGTTGCAGCACATGGAAGCAACACTGGGAGCACCCACTAATCTGTGTTAAGAAATTTGGGAGACCCTTACTTGGCCAACGGACAGGGAGAGATCTACATCTGTGCCCATTCCAAACAAGGGTGATCCAAAGGAACGGGGCCATTGTCTAATGACACCACTAATACCACATGCAAGGAAAGTTTTGCACAAAACCAGACTTACTGCCATCGAATTGATGTCGACTCACAGTGACCCTATAGGACAAGGCAGAACTGCCCCTGTGGGTTTCCGAGACTGTGCGTCTTTACAGGAGTAGAAAGTCCCGTCTTTCTCCCGAGGAGCGAGTGGTGGTTTCAAACTGTTGACCTTTCAGATTGCAGCCCAACACTTAACCACTATGCCACCAGTTTTGCTGAAGATAATCCCAAAACAGCTACAGAGTACATCCGGATGCAGGGAACTGCCAGAAATTCAAGCTGGATTCAGAAGAGGGTGTGGAAGTTGAGATATTATTGGTGATGTCAGATGGATCTTGGCAGAAAGCCCGGATTCCCAGAGAAATATCTACCTGTGTCTTATTGGCTAAGGAGAGTTGTTCAATTGATCAATGGATACAATGATGGTGAAAAATGGCAATTCCAGAACCCTTCATTGGTCCTGGCCTGGGCTTCACTTACCTGCCTCCATACCCTCTCACCCCTGGCCCCAGCCTGCCTCTGTGGGCTCCTCCCATCCTCCAGCTCAGCCTTCAACTTGCCCCTGCTCTTCACAGGCCAGCCGCCGCCCACAGCACTTGCTCTTGCAGCCCCTCTCCCACCCTATACCCTGGACTGCTGCTGCCAGTGGACACGGCCCCAGCCTCACGCATGCAGAGCAGAAGTGTTCCATAGGTTGCCGGGTATGTCTTCTGAGGGGCCTCTCAGTAGGTTCAACCCCCCAACTGTTGGACCGGTCATCAGGGCTTACCCTTAAAGCTAGCTGCGTGTTCCCGTCCTCAGACATTTCACCCTGCTTGACTCCACAACTGATACTCGGGAAGCAGCAGCCACGAGACCCGGTGGTGCATTGCATCGGGGAAGCTGCTGCACCAGCCCTCCTGAGCGTCTGCGAGACGGCAGGGATGTGACTTGGAGGACCGAGGTGTGCCGGCCTCCAGCCGTGGTGCTTCCAGTCACCTTGTGTGCATGTGAACGTTGGATGTTGAAGAAGGAAGACAGAAGAAAAATCGATGCGTCTGAGCTACAACGCTGGCAAGGCATACTGAAAGTACCGTGAACTGCCCCCAGGACAAGCAGATCTGTCTTAGGGAGGGGTGCGGCCAGCATGCTCCTTAGAGGCAAGGATGGTGTTGTCAGGAGAGACGGTCCCTGGAGAAGGACATCGCGCTGGGCACAGTAGTGGGGCAGCGAGAAACAGGCAGGCCCTCGACGAGATGGAGGGACACCGTGGCCGCGACGACGATGGGCTCCACCGTGGCCTTGATGGTGAGGGTGGCGTGGGGCCAGGCGGGGTTTGGCTCTGTCGCCCATAGGTTGCAGCGAGTTGGAGCCAATTGGATGCCGCCCAACCCTACGCCCCTGCAGAGCTCCTCATCCCACCTCTTGGCGTCTCCACCCTCGGCTCGCACCTCCACCGGAGTGCTGTGCTTCACGCGAGGTCAAGCTGAACCTGCCTCTTTCAGCCGGCACGACACCTCCTTTCTCTCCCCCCGCCCTGTCCCTGCGGAGGGGGCCATCTGGCACGAGGAGGGTGCGCGGGGCAGCACCACCATGGATGCCTTTCCATCCCGCGACGGAGGCTATGTCGTCTGAAATGGGAACGACGGAGGGCGTCGGTGAGGTGGAGAAGCTGGAGCCCCACCCACTGTTGGCAGGAACACACAGCGCTCCAGCTGTGGTGGGAAGAGGACACCGGCTCTTAGGAAGTCTGCCGGGGCTCCCTAGGCAAACACACAGGTGAAAGGTAGAGCGGTCATTGAGGTGAATCCCACTCACAACGACCCTCTCGATCGAGGGGAGCTTCTGCAGACAAGCTGTCAATCTGTCCGCGAGCAGAAAGCCTCCTCTTCCTCCTCAGAGCTGCTGGTGGGTTCGAACTGCTACCCCAGGGCCCGGTCCTGCCTTATGCCCAGTGATTCCCCTGGGCCCGCTGGTCGGTATCCACCGAGAGACCTAATGGAAGTGGCACACGCGCGGACAGTCGTCTGTCCTGGGGGAGGAAGATCAGGCTGTCTGGTCCTGTGCAGACTTACAGGCTCAGAAACCCACAGGGGCAGTCCTCTTCCAGGGCCGCTATGCATCTGAGCCATCTCAGTAAGGACTTTTTGTTTGTTTGTTTGTTTTTAATGTTCACCACGGCATCAAGCCCTAGAGACCTAGTGGTTACACACTGGCATGTGACCTGCACACGATCAGCAGTTTGAAACCACCAGCAGCTCCTTTGGAGAAAAACTGGGCATTCGACGGACACCCGTCAACAGTTACGGTCTCAGAAACCCACAGGGGCACTATGAGTCAGCACTGACTCCATGGCAGTGTGTGTGTGTGTGTGTCCCAGTGCTTACACATGAGGCTGCTGCAATCTGTAAGGTCAGCAGTTCGAAACCGCCAGCCCTCGACTTTCTCTTTACTCTACTCCCATAGAGATGTCCAGCCTTGGAAGCCCACAGGGCAGTTCTACTCTGTCCTGGAGGGGCGCTGTGAGTCGGAACGGACTTGGTGGCAGTGAGTGGATGAGCTGCTCCCCAGGAGACAGATGAGCCTTCTTACACCACAAAGACTGACAGGCCCGCAAACCCACAGGCAGCTCTACTCTGTCCTGGAGGGTTACTATGACTCTCACTCAGTGGCGATGAGTTTGGTTTTTGACCCTACTGGAAGTGTGAGCCCCATCTCTCATGGAATCATGACCAACAGGTGACCACCCTGACCCAAAGCTGGCCAGTCATGAGTAGTCTAAAGGGCAGAACAACTGTCCTATTTTCTCTT